CCGCCTCTCTCTCCGCAGGGGCTTCGGCAAACAGGGCTTCCAGTGTCAAGGTCAGTCGCCGCGGTGCGGGGGGGTCGGGGTCTCGGACGGCGGCTCGGCCTGCGCTGTGGCTGCGGGCAGGAGGGCTTTGTCTTGGGTGCTCTCAGGAGCATCTCTGCAGGCGCTCCTACAAGCAGCCGAAGTCTAGCCCAGTCTAAATGCTGCCGCTGCTCTTCCTTAGCACTTGCCTTAAGGAGTAAAACCTTTAAAATAACAAAAGCATCTCCCCGCCGCCTCCCCCCAAGCCCCCACCTAAAGGCCTGGGCTGGTGCTGCCGAGCGGAGGAAAGCAGATGTGGAGACTAAACCGTGTCCTAGTGGTGTTACTCAAGGTCACAGCTTCCCCTGGCACCTGAGGTTTCACACCCGGGCGGTGAAGTCGTGTCGCTCGGAGGAGTTTTGTGCAGCTTGTATCTCTTACTGTGGGTCTTCCCAGGTTTACCCAGCTGTTCGTTCTCTGGCTTTCCTGGCGGTGCAGGCAGTGTCGTGCCAGGCGTATTTGTGCAAACACAACGCCCCTGAGATTTGAAGTGTGCTAGCAAAGCTGGTGGGGATCATGTGCTGGTGGGGCAGGGCTTTTCCTGTATCGTTTCTAGCGCTTTGCTCGGTTCTGCCGTAGCATTCCCGATCGGATAATTGGAGCCTTTTCAAGTCTCTCTTGCAGCCGTTAGGAACTATTGTCCAAACCTGTAATTGTGTGCTTGTTTCAAGCTTTATCCTGTAAATGTTTTTCACCAGTGTTAAATCACTCTTGGGTGCGCAGTCGGTTAACGGGACCCGCGGAGGTGGGCTCAGACTTAGGGCACAGCCAGTGCCCTCCGAATGGGGAGACCCTCCACAGCGCATGTTGAACAGTGCAGTCCTGTCCTGTGGTTCTCAGAGCAGGGGCCCTTCTCGGTAGGACGCTGTGCTCAGTGACGTCTCCAGAGGTGTGGGACTGGTCTGTAACGTACCTTTCAAAACCATTTTCCAGGTTATTCTGGTATTGCAGGCATGAAAACTGCGTTACTGCATTGCAATAGGAAACGCTGCAGACTGCAGTAACGTGGAACAGACCATCTTTACACCAAATCCCTTCCTAAAATCGGCGATCTGTGGATTTTCACGTCCGTCCCCTCCTGCGAGGTGCTGAGGTCCCCGGGTGAAGGTGCGAGGCAGAGTGTGGGCGTGATCCTCCCTGTGTGAGCGCCTCGTGCCGTCGGCGCCCCGCGGCGGAGGGCACGCCGTGTCGGCGGGAGGAACGCTTCCACCTTGGGCGGTCGAGCACGAGCTAGAAGTCTCTCCCGCCTGCCATCTGCTTGGAAATCACAGCTACCCCAGGGGGCTGCGGGAGGGAGAGCCTGGGGTGCCAGGGCTGGCACCGCTCCTGCCCCCGGACCGGGCCGAGCTCCTGCGCGGGCGCCGTCGCAGCGCCGGTACCGCTCCCCGTCGGCGGGGAGCTCGAGGTGCGGGCTCCGGCCCCTGACGCTGTGCTGCAGCTGCTGTTGAAGTGGGTAAATAAGTCATATTTACATGGAAGCAAAAAAAAAAAAACCCCAACCAACAACCACCTCGGGGCTAGCTTTTGTTCAGGGCTTCTCTTTCTTCAGCTCTGCGGGGCTTGCAGTAAGCTTTGGTTGCGGTGTGTAGCTCTCCCTTCGCTGAAGGCAGCTTTAATTCAACTTTAACAGCTTCCCCAACTATTTACCCTCGTGTTCAGCGGGGAGGGCTGGAGATGAAGCTAAGGCACATGCCTGTCTTGTTTCTGAGCTGGTTCCTACTGCCATGCTTGCTTTAAGTAGGTTTTCACCTGTGCCCTGATTTCTTTCTAGGGCATTTGCAATAATTAGGTTGTTAATTAGCTCATTACTTGTGACTTTTGGCAGGAAGTTAGCAGAAACTGACTCTTTGTAGCTTGAAATACTAATGGATACCACAAATGCCACTTAATTGCTTGCTAATCTGCTTCTTATCCTTGTATACAATCTCCTTCTTATCCTTGTATGCATCTGAAGACTTCCTGGGGTAGCGTCTTTCTTCAGAGCCAGAAAGCATTTCTGTGCCTGGGCAGCAGGAGGTCTGTGCGCAGGCAGCCCTGAGGAGCAGGGCTGGTTCTTGCAGGTTAAAGAAAAATATTATTGGAGGGGTTGGGTAGGAAGAATGAAGTGCTGTGGATGTGCCTGGAGCTGCCAGAAAGATGAGCCCTTCCTGGGGGGAGCTCGACGTGCGCTGGCTGCGTGTCAGCCCGGTACGGAGGGGGCTTTCTGGCTCGGTTGCAGCTGGAAGGTACACGAGCTCCCATGTGCACTCATGAGTAACAGAGAGAAAGGGGTGAACGTGTTCTCCCCAGCCTGAGTTTTGAGGTCCGTCTGTCCTACACCACTACCAGGCATCACAGGAGGAGGGAGAGAGCGGCCCCTCAATGTCTGCAGGCTCTCTTGGTGAAGGAACGACGTGTGGCTAAGTTGCAGCTGATGGCTTTGCTCTCTCGCTTCTCCTAACTTGAGAAGTGCTTTGAGGATGGTAAAAGAAAGGGAACTGGTTTCAAAGCTGTTGAGAGTGAAATTCTTGGTCTCGTTCTCAAAATGTGCCGCTTCTGGGAACTGGTAGCTTTCTCTTTGTCTTTTCTCTCGTGTTCCCTCCTTGCCATCCTTGACGTATCTTTATGCTCTCGTCCCAGCTGCTCTCTGTCCCTCCGTGGATCAGGGTACAGGCTGCACTGGAGGTTTTGTGAGGGGGCACCTCACCGAGAGCCGGGTTTGTTAAGCCTGGACTCGCTATTGCAGCGGCTGGGCTGGGCTTCCACCTTGGGAACCTGGCAAGAGCAGGGGAAGAGGCGCTCACATAGAGGTGAAGAGCCACGTAACGTGATTCTCACTTAGGAGCAAAAAATAACCTGCATCTGTTACTGCTTTCACGTGTACAGAGTAAGTAGAAAAGATCTTGGAAAGAAGAATCTTGATTCCTTAAGAGGAGAAGGGGGAAAAAAAGAAAGCATCGTTCAGTAATGGATGCTTAGATCTCATGCAGTAACTTTTCTGGAGGAAACGTGTACTTCTTATCCCTGGCTATGACTCAGTAAGCAAAGACACTCTTCAGGTTTAATCTCTTTCCAAACTTCATACCAGATATAATTCCTTCTTCCAGGTTTTTCTTCTCCCTGTCCTCCCAATCCAGTGTTCTTGCTTTTTGTGTTTTTGCAATTCAGCGTTTAATACCAAAACTAAGCAGCTGGAAAATGGCAGGCGGGCCTTACCTTTCAAGCAAGTATTTCTCTCTTGCTATCTGCCTTCAAAACCCACCCTTCCTTCCCCCACCTCGTCGCTGCCCTCCAGACGGAAGCGAAACCCGTAACAGCTCTGGTCGTAACTGCAGCTCGTGCTGCTGCTCCGCGTTCTGGTTTGTCGCCATTAACTTCACGCAGGCATTCAGTGTTGTGCTTTTATTGACTGTATTAAGCGAGTGAGAAACAAAAGCAAAACAAACTCCAATCATTCAGAGTTGCCTCAAACCCCGTAATTTCGTGTCAACATATTATGCACACTGGAGAAATGTTAGTGTTCAAATAGACTAATTAAAAATGTTACTGCAATTACTTTTGCAACACAAATGATGCTAATTATATAATGCTGCAGAAATTGGAAACATAATTTTGGAGGGTTTTTTTGTGTGCCTTGCGGTGGCAATACAATTCTTGATGCGGCGGCCACCGGAGCCCCGTGCTGCGGCCGCTGGGGCAGCGCCTGGGAGCAGGTAGAAGTAGAAAGGGGAAGTCGGTCCGGTCCCCCGCGCTGCACCAGCTGCGCCGTGGTTCTGCGGAACTGTGAGTGCAGACAGAGCCGGCAGGGAAAATGGGAAGATGTGCCCCGTCACACTGTGGTCGAAGGACCAAGTCGCCTTCAAAAGACTCAGTTTTAAAGCCTGAAGCCTAGTCTCCCTGCTCCTGCTCCTTCCTGAGCTGGATGCCTGCAGCTCGGAATTGCAGCTGGGGGAGCAGATCTGTTTTGGGAGGAAATCTGGGCTTGCAGGAGCCTCTTGCAGCGCGGGGTCTGTGGCTATCGGGTTCACAGGGATCACTCGATATGTTCAGCCCCGTTAGTGTCTCCTTACAGTGCAGAAGGGTTCATTCGAGTCTCTCAGTGGAAGTGGTTTCTCTTTTCCCTCCCCCTTTGCAGTTAGCGTGGTAGATTTTTCTTTCTTCCCTCCCGAGATAGCCATCATCCTGAAAGGATTCTAGCCTTTGGTAATGAGGCGGTCTGTGTCCTTCCCGGGGTGTCTGTCGCTGACCAGTGTCAGCAACAGGGAGCTGGGCAGAGGGGCTCAGAGCTGGCCCCGGGGGTGTTTGGGGGCCTTGGGGGCGGCAGGAGGGTTTGCATCACATCTGGCTGGTGTGTCTGTCAGCTGTGGCTCCACTGCCGAGTTCAAACCACCGCGGTATAGGAGCCTCTGCCATGATTATTCTCCGGGTATTGAGTATTTCAGGGGAATTCAGTGCCTGGGCTGTCTCTAAGGAGACTTCTCAGCAAGCAGTACAGGCGTTTCTGTACATCTGCTAGCTCACCTGCTGGGGATCCTACAAATTGGTACGGCCCACGGGCTCCTGGCGGGTGTGTCGGGCACCCTTGCACTGGCAGTATTTGCGGGCGGACGCTCGCCTGTTCTGGTGCCAGCAGAAGATGCCGGGGCTGCGAAACAGAGCAAGATCTTGAGGGTTTGATATCTGCTGTAGAACAGGAGGTGGGGTCGAATCTCCTCTCAAAACTTGTTTTGAATTCTGTTAACTGATGAGGTTTTATCTCAAAACTCAAGCTCGGGGAGTTGCACAAGCCCTCCCAGGCAGCGAGCACGGCTCCTCGTTCTTCTGACTGCATTTGAGAAGGCAGAAATCTAAACACGCTCGAGGGGCTCGTCAGTGCCACCCAGTCCCCCTTCAGATTTATCAGCAAATACGTTGCGTGATCCCAGTGACTAAGAAATTAAGTTCTAGCTGTGCCCATAATTTAGTTCAGGGCAGAGCTGCTTGGAACACGTCA